AGTCTTTAAAGGGTGATTGGTTGTTTTATGATATTTGGGGTTTTACATGCGGAGAAGTGGATCCTTAGGAAATAAAGAAAATCAGCTTTACACTGAAACAGGAAACAGATGGAAACACGAGTTTGTTCCTTAAGATTTTGTCCTTTTTTCACTTCAGATTAAATAATTTTTAAATACAGAAATAAAAATGAAATTATTCAGACTTGATAGTTTGTTGGGAAACAGGAAAGAAACCACAGACGTCCATCACAGCAGTTTGAAATAAAACAACTTTCTGATCATTTCTGGTGAAGAGCTGAACCCAACTTCATCAAAGGTCACGACCTCTGAACCCTGAAGGAAACAACAAAGTCCTGGAGGAATAAATATGCTGCTGGATAAAACGTGGTTCATTCCAGAGCAGAAAAATTGATTTAAGATGCTTTTCAGGAGTTTGTTTAGATGTAAACAATGTTTTTCTTATTATTCTGGACTCAAAATGTGTAAAACTACTTTAACTGCATCTTATTCATAATCTTCCAACGGGGCCAGAACTGCTTCTGACTGCAGTCTGGATTAATGTAGAGATCATTGGTCATTTGGCAATGGCTGATCAGGCGATCGATTATTGATAAGAAGCTGTTTAATGTTCCAATCAGGTTCTGTGACTGAGGCCTGGAGATTATCCCTCAGGTCAGCCGGACGTCCAGCAGTAGAATAAGTGACTTCCTGTTGAAAGGGGGCGGGGCTACGTGATGTCACCAGCTAACGTGTGAATGTGTTGGTGCTGCTCTGGGTGATGCAGCAGGTTGGTGTGGAAGTTCTTCCATCTTCATGTTTTTGGTCAGACTTCGAGGCATGGCCACGCCCACCTGCTGTGATGCAGCTAAAAGCTTTTGATAACTTTGCATCAGATTAAAAACAGATTTTTAGAAATATTTCATGTTAATTCTAGAAAATGTGAATTGAACACATGGATGGAGTCGAGTATTAGCTGAGGCTCCACATCCCACCAGCAGTGAGGGAGGAACCGATTTGTCAGGGAAATGAAAGCGCCTGTGATTCATGACCTTCACTATGTAAATAAAAATGTTTTGAATTTGAAAATTATCAGGTGTGCTGAATATATGTGCTTCCTCGGCAGATTTTCCTACAGTAGCATGTCTAGATAGCTGTCTGTCGGTGCTACTTTTAAAATAATTATCATGTTTACATACCAAAGACCTTAGCAGTTAATGTTAAATACTGATTTCTGATTATCATATTTAAGTGACAGGATTTAAGTTGTGCTTAGCAATGATACGTAGCATTTGAAAAAATATGAGAATGACAAAAACTCTTAGAAAAGCACCTGAATCCCCGTTTAAAATCACCAGCTTGTATAAAAGCACTAAAATCCTTCATGAAAACAGTGTGAAGGTTTTAATATGTAAAGCTAAATAGTTTTACCAGAGTTAGCTACACCAGAGTCCTTCATTTGAATATAGCTATAAAATATAGTAATGAATGTTGACTTTTAACTCAAAGTCCTCAAGTGACAGCTACCATCATCCTGTAGTCATGTGACTACTGAGGGATTCTGGGTAATTAAGAGAATTGAAATTGCCTTTCCATCAACTAAAAGGCAATTTATTTCACCTATTTATATTCAGCAGAAAATAAAAGCCATATCAGAATATTTCACACACTACACAAATATCAGTCAGAATGTGACGGGAACCTGTGAGGAAAGGCAGATCCTGTAAGAACCACAGTAGG